TTTTTTAAACAATGAGAGCGGTATGCATGAGGTGAGTTTAGGGATTGTTGCCAATTTTTATCGTTAATGTCATTTGTATTAAATTCTGGAAACGCTCACATTCCTGCCATTCATTAAAAAATAACATATTGACCCAAATGAACTACTTCCACTCCCTTCTAGGCCGAGGATAATAGGTTATGTTTTCACTGTTAAACTGTGTGTTGCCTCTTTTTTTATTGACGTAACTGATCAGATCACTTTGTGCTTACATTAAAACCACAACTGAAAATATTGTCGCATTTAAGCAGCAACTTTAAAAACTCAGCAATCATCCACATGATGCGTCCAGACTTAACAGTATTTGCTGGAAGCAGAAATGCATCAACAGCTCTGGTTTTGCCGATTCATCCTGAGCTCGAGCGCTTCGTTACCAAATCGCTGTAGAAACCGTGAGAGAGTTTGTTCTTAATGCGGTGAAGCTCCAGAACTGAGCTCTACTTGGATCAGGCTATCCGGTGATATTTTAGTTTTGTCTGCTACAACTTGTCATATCTGCTCCAATCAGTTATGAAAATTCCATGAAAAACACTTGTTTTTTTGTTTTTGTGATCAAGTATTCCAGATGTTCTGTATTGTTGTGGACACGTGGTTCATAAATATCACTATTTGACTCCTGCTTTGTTATTTTTTTGTTAATTTGTGCTCAAACATGGGACGACAGCTCCAATCCTTTTTCGTATTTCATCTCAGCCATAATCAGAGATTGTTTGAGCTACTTGTCCAGTATTGTAGATTCTGAATCGATGACATGATGAGAAATAACAGTGAACGTTTCAGGCTTTTATCTGTAATAGTTCCTGAGATATCATCATTCAAACAGCATCAAATTACAACGTGTGGAAAAAAAATGCGCTGAAAGTGGGTCGATGGGCGTTTCTTGTCATCTCCTTTGGAAAACCAGAGATTACTCGATGTACTTGTCAAATATTGTAGATTTTGAATCAATGGCATGTTTAGAAATAATAGTGAAAGTACGAGACTTCTATCTTTTTTAGTTCCTGAGATTCTGCGGTTCAAACGTGTGACAAAACGCTCTGAAAGTAGGTTGAAGACCTTTTGTTTATTATTTTATCACAGCAAGTGTTTAATATATTTCGCTAAAAATTTCACAGATACTTTCATGAATATTTATATTCAGTTGCATGAACATTTCAGGAAGAATCGGAGATAGTCAAGCCCAGATAGTTCTAAAGATTTGCTGATTTTAATGGAATTAAACTTTTTTTTCATCCGTGTTCTGTAAATTCCAGACTATTGAGTGCACCTGAATATAAGCTGCACCTACTACCTTTAAAAAGAAAACAAGTTTTGTTCATATCTAGACCACACTTGTCTTTATGCTGCAGGACTGGTGTCCACGTTGTAACATGAGAGATTTACACAGACAGATTTCTTAAACTTTTAATTAAATACGTACTGGTAACGTACACAGATACGTACCGTGAATGCTTTTTTCCAAACCAGCTGTGTAACACGGCTGGTTAAAAAAATAAAAAATACAGCAGCCTACCAGGAAAAGTCATTGATCTCTATCTTCATCTTCCTCCTGCGCACTAAAACCACTAAAGTCGTCTTCATCAGTGTCAGAATTGAACAGCCTCAGAATTCCTTGGTCACACACTTCCTCAGTCTCTCTTTTGTTCTCGCTCTCAATGTCACTTTCGTCTCGAGGCCAAGTCGTAAAACTCGTAAAAATCCCTAAATTAGCTGCATCATTGTTTAAGCTGCAGTGTTCAAAGCGTGTGAAAAAAATAGCAGCTTATAGTCCGAAATTTACAGCAAATCTGAATTTTGTACTGCTTCCTTAACATTCAGATTCTTACCTGTGTACTGTGGTAAATGGGTTAAACTTAAAGGAAGGTGGGTAAAAACAAAATAAGCCTTTTTCTGCTGGTCTTTTTTTTTTTTTTTACGAATAGGCCAATAAAAATGATCAGATCAGCTGGAATGAAACATTAACCGGTGAGGAGTTTCTCGCCGCACCGGGCCGCTCTAACCGTGATTCTGCTCTGTGTTGTGGTCGCAGCCCTCTCTGAGCAGCAGGACTGGAGCTCCAGCGTGGACATGAACGACGACCCGGCCCACATCAAAGAGGAGGACGACGAGGACCTGTGGTCGGATCAGCAGGACGACGGTCCGCAGGCGTCGGAGAACGACGACGTCAACTTTGTGTTGTTCCAGAGCGGCGGGGCGACACAGCGGCAGGACAACGGCCACCAGACATCCTCGCTCCCCAAGTTCCCGAGCCAGGACCTGGAGGACTTGGAGCTGGACCCCCAGCCGGGCACCTCGGCCCAGCAGAGCTGCTCCGACCTCAACGAGGACGAACCCGAAGCTTCGGATGTGGCTGCAGGCAACGGCGACTGCGTGGAGCTGGACGCGCAGCTGCCCGAGGTGGTGGACTCGTACATTTGCACCATCTGCGGCCGGGCGTTCGCTCAGCGCGGCCACTGGGCCAAACACGTGCAGGTTCATCGCAAGATCGAGACAAAGGTCGACAAGTCGTACACGTGCGACATTTGCGGGAAGAGACTGACGCGGTTCGACGGCTACCAGAAACACCTGAGGATCCACACGGGGGAGAAACCGTACAGCTGCGACGAGTGCGGCCGCAGGTTCAGCGACAACTCCAACTACAAACGGCACATTCGCACACACAAAGTGCAGAAACCCCAACAGAGCTGAGACCGCACAGGGACTAGACAAAAACAGACAAGTTCAAGAATTCAGATTTTTGTCTTTTTTTTAAAATTTTTTTTTTAAGCCCCTTCTGAGAAGCAGATTGTGGTTTTAAATGGCTCCCAGGCTTTACTTTTAGTTTGTTTTATTGAAACACTGATGGGTCAGAGAAGAAGGAAGCAGCCAAATGTTTCGTTCCTCAGCTGCCGTTGAACCTAAAAGGAGGAATCACGGGATTTCAGTTGTCGTGGACCGATGACTGGAGGCAAAACTTTTGACCTGTGAGCTGGTATTTCGTATTATTTAAGGACCAAGATGAGGAGAAAGAGACAAATGCAGTATTTTTCTATCTTATATATTTTAACAGACGTTTGTACACTGGAGGAACCAGGCGTTGCAGTTTGCAGACGGTCTCACAGTTCGCTGGCAGTTCTTTTTATTTTCCAGCTGACGGCAGCGAAGCGGTACACGAAGCGTTACGCACCAGTTGTGTTTTTGATGGAAAGTCTGAACAATATGGAGACATAAATGTCTGCAGGTTGTATTTGGGATGTCAGGAACATTTGAATCCCAGTTCAAGGTGTCTACTCAGATCCAAGGATGAATCAGTATTGCTTTAACAACTGTTCGGCGTTTACTAAAGTAATAAAACCTTGTTACTTTAAAACTCAAGTTCATGTTTGTGCCATTGATTCAACCAATTCTAACAGTTTTCTTTGTATATTAAGATGCGTGTTTTAAGCAGTGAAGCCTCCGGTGGAGATGTTGCGTCCCTCCTCATGAAACAAACCACTGCTGACAGTTCACTCGTCAGCTCTTTTGTGTTTCTGCTGCACAGAATATGTTGTCAGCACTTTATACAGTTTGCAGCACCACAGTCATCAAGGGTGTCCTAAAGTCACCGTTACTGTCATTTGCGAAGCACATTTAAAACGACAACGTTTTTTTATTAGAAAAAAAAACAAAACAAGAAAAATGTTTACAAATCGAAGTATTAAAGTTAAGACCTTGAGGTAGTGTATATTATACACATTTCTCTCATACATTTAAATATTCGGACCATTTAATATGACATAAAACACAAATCGCCTTTCTAACGTCGACATATTGTACATATTACCATGACGACCCCACAATATTATACATAGTCCAAATTTAACGAATTTAAATATTAATGTTAAGAACACACAATGTTATTTATTGTATACATTTACCCGACTAATTTACATAATAAGATTATGCAATAGTATTGTAATACAAATCTACCTGACGGATTTAATTAAGGTTAATATTCTACGATATTATTTATTATATACATTTGCCATACTGACTTAAATATTAAGACCATACAATATTGTATAAAACACAAATTTACCTTTATACCCTAAATATTAACATAAAGTCTGCACAATATCATACATAATCTAAATGTACCTTACTAATTAACATTAAGACTCTATCAATTATTTATTATATACATTTAAAGTTATGACCCTC